AAGGACGCGATCTGATTGGTGCGTCACCACGTCGTTCTCGTATGACCAATTTACCCGTTTATTTGCGTATCGCGTCATAATCAATATACACTCTGAATGTTGTTCTCTCTCGTATCATTGTTGGGTGTTCTGCGAGAGGTGCTCGTATCGAACATACGTCTAGACATAACATTACATTATGAACTATGATTATCCATTGCCCATGAATTAGTTATTAGAAACTATTGATTCGTTGAGTTAACTCATCGAAATAGAGAGAGAAAAAATTTCACACATGTTTGGTGTGGCCCGGGTGTAACTGAGTGAACTTGGTCTGGTTGCTCCAACCGGCAGTATTCAGATGAATCAAAATCCCGGAAAAATCTATCAATCTGGAGATAAATACAGTATGTAATCGGTTGTCAACATTAGATGATTCCTGCTTTGGAGAGCAACCAAATGTGTTTTGAGTTGTCTTGCCAAGTGGCAAATTGATTCACCAGTGACCGAATACAGTGTTTCTCGTGGTTATTTATCTTTCGTTTTATTTAGTTTTTAACCCGTTTCTCATGAAATTTTAGCAATGATATCTATTCGTTGACTGATTCACACACAGGCACGTAGATAATCACCGGAGGAAAATTCAAATGTTGCTTATGTCGAATTCGAACACAGCCAATTGAGTATCACGTGACGCGTTGGTCAGTCTACGATTTGAATGTGTCTCTCTAATTCAACATCTGGTCATTTTGAATTAGTATGCGCCTTTTTGAAATCGGCCTCGATATGAATCGGTATTTTTGACAATCGGTTCAATTTAGTCGTACGTGCATGTCCACCAGCGCAACAAACGAGATCTTAGACAAATACTGCCAAGATAGAATAGTCGTCAGTTTGCAAACGGATGACCTGCGACGTCTAGAAAAATGGTATCAAAAGTTGCTCATATTTGTTTGTTTGTTTTCAATGAAAAAAGAAACAACCCGAATCAATCGTTTCCCGTTTTACACGCTACGCGTCACACATGGTCCAACCAAGCATGAACTTGAAACTTAGTTTTGAAAATAATCATCATGCGGATAAGAAGCATTTTTAACCCGGCCGTTTCATTCATTTTCATCAATACAAAAAAATATATAATCGCTTCTGTACTGACCTTGCTCTGAGCGGATATAACCGAATGCACCTGTAAAGTTCTCGCATTCCTAGCATATACCGACAATTTCGCAGTTATAGAAAACGCAATTTTCACGAGTGCCAGTGTGCAAAAACAGACTGGAAACTATTCAGAACACTCACCTCCAGCGTAGACCATACAAATATGTTCATTGAACAACTCATTGTGGGATTCTCGTAAAAATTCCAACCCCGTCGGATCGATGTGGGTCATCCCGGTAATATCGATCAGCAGGAATGCTTTCGGTGTGCTCTCCTCGTCAATTGTAATGCACGCGCCCGAAACCGCGGGAGATTGCGGTTTATCCAAGGTCTGGTGTGTGGGGGGGGGGCGTGCGTTGGTGATAGACAACAGAAGATTCACTATGAAAACTGACAACAGTTTGATGAAATGCAATATTTTTCAGCATTGATACTCTGTAGTTTC